AAAAGCAAACCCTAGCAAAGAGTGCAAGTGTTTTTATAACCAAATTCAGACAATTGTCTCGCCCATCGCCTGACATTTTAGGGTTTTTAACCCCTATCACCCATGAACCGGGTGCTTCCGGATTTATACCGAAACCCATATTGGAAGAAAACACCCGATCTACAACATCAAAGCACATTTTAATAACTTGAGCACAAAACTGGTCAAAAAAAGACCAAAGTTGTTGCCCAATTTGGTATTTTTCCTCACGCGTGTAGTCAAAATGACCGATTTTTGTCAATATCTTAACAAATAAGCATTAAAGGGCTTATATTGCTCTATAAGTTGTATATAAATGTGATGTTTGCGCTCATTTTAAGCTAAAATTCAAGTCTCTACGATCTTCCTAGTTCAAGTTACAAAAATTCAGTCCCATTTTTGGTTCGCTGAGCCAAAAAACAGTTTTTTGTCAATATCTATAAAACAAAGCACTGGAGACCTTATGTTGCTTCATAAGTTGTATATAAATATGGCTATTGCGGTAATTTTAAGCTAAAATTGAAGTCTCTATGACCTTCAGGAGCCGAAATACGAAAATCTCGTATACGCGACTGAGGGTAATTTAGAAAATTTGCCCTGTAGGGTTGTCTCTAGCGAAAGAAATTGTGCACCCACACGATTTTGGTTAAGAATGACCTAACAAACAACCCTGTGTTGTCAGAAATAGTACACATCGAAGTGCACACTCAACTATTCCCTGCTACTAGAGTAAGAAGGGATTGATTGCTACTTGAGTACTGTATAAGTAGGAAGAAACTTGAAAGTTATCATCGTTAACATGTAATTGCAATTAACCTCGACCAAAATCCCGGGATATACAAATTAGTAATTGCAGCAGTATCTGCTACATAATCGACATACCGTGACTAATAATTCATACCGGCTACTAATTAAGACCACTAAGTTTTTACAGCTAAATGAGTCACGTTACACGTACAATATTATAAATATAACGCTTGCATGAGTCATGATCCACTTTATAAATCAGAGCAGCATGCTGCCACGACGAAATTTCAGTAAAAACCGCTAAATTTCGGTCAAGGGGACGGCAGAAATGTTTCTTTTCAAAACTATTCCAAAATCTCTTTTTATATTCTGATGATTTTCCGTTCATCAAAGCTTTCTTTGGGAATAGAACTTTGAGTTATTGATTAGAGGACTTCGCCGCTTCGACGCGCCGCGCAAACTAGCATTCTTGCTTCGCATCGACAAGATCGACAAGATCGACAAGATCGACAAGATCGACAAGATCGACAAGATCGACAAGATCGACAAGATCGACAAGATCGACAAGATCGACAAGATCGACAAGATCGACAAGATCGACAAGATCGACAAGATCGACAAGATCGACAAGATCGACAAGATCGACAAGATCGACAAGATCGACAAGATCGACAAGATCGACAAGATCGTTGCTCTGCTTCGCAGAGCAACGATCTGGAAGGGTTGACATCGTCAATCAAAGTTATTGAGTACCTCAATCGTGTCTTGTGCCATCCTCATTCCTCAGTGTCCTTGTAAGATGGTCATTGAAGCATGAAGAAAAATTCAGTCGAAACAGTGAAATTTGGGTTTAAATTTGTCACTGCTCAAGAATATCTTGTGCCCATTGCACTAATTGTCGTGAGACTACCTCAGGTAATTTGCTAGTAGTAGAACTGTTGGCTAGAGTAGGCCCCTTACTTTTATAGTTCTATGGAGCTCTCTGGCCAATTGCTCAGTCAGTGACTGATGCATATTATATTAAATTTGCAGAATGGTGCATTTTCAGTGATTTTGAATTTTAGTTGTAGTGAACGGTGGATTTTGACGTATTGAACGCACGTTCCACTCATTTTGTAGTGGAACGAAAATAAATTTATTTTCATGAATTTTTGTTTTTGATAATCACTGACGTTCACTACATCTAGATTGTAGAGTACGCTATATTAATATCTACCACATACCACACTTTATATTATCACAAACGACTAGTAACTGCGAGTACCGGTTTAAAGATTTGGCTGCTGAATCGAAAATAGTCGGATATCAATCTATTTTCCTGTTAGCTATACCAGAACTGAGTGGAAAACAGGAGAATTAAAACTATACTGAAAGTGAAAGGTTCTGGAATAATTCGAAAGTTTCTCTTTGTTTGTCTGGATGACCGCCCGAGTTCAAATTGGATGGAAAATACGAAGTTGATTAGTAACGGTACAGTAGCGCGCAATTGCATTTTGATCAGTTTTATTGTCATATTATGTCGCCAGTGTCTCCGTTTTCCAAACAAATGGAAGTTGTTTCAATTTAAATTACTGTTACTGTACCCAAACCCAAATGATACCGAGAATGAAGTCGGTCGCTTGATTTTCCCATTCATTCACAATTATTTTATTTCAAAATTCAAATAAACTTTACATCAATGTATTACAGTTATATTTAGAAAATACCACAATATCTCGTGTGAGGCAAAAAAATATGAAAAATGAGAGCTAGAAAAAAATTCCTGAGACTCAACACTACCAGACTGCAGCTTGAGTGAGAAACATTATGTAAACATCGCATCATAGTAAAATGTATTTCGGCTGAACCAAAACACGGTGGTAAAACCATTATTACATTGGTGCCGATTGATTGATAGGGATAGGGAATAGGGATAGATATTGATGATAGGAGGCAGTACGCGGTATAAACGGTGCGTTACACTGTATTAACGGTGCGTTACACTGTTGTTACAGTCACGAAAATAACTGAGCTCGTTACAATTTGCAGGTCGTGAATGTCTACCTTTTATAACTGAGACTGTTTATGTTATTTAACATCTCCAAACCAAATTACGACCTTTCTATGGTCAAACTTAATATGCAATCTGTCATGTAGTCAAGGAATGAAAGTCAAGTGAACAAATCTGTTAGATCTAGAAACACTATTATATACTATATAAACGGTGCATTCAATGAAATGATAAATAAATAAATAGATTCTAACATTTATTACACGCTTCGACATCAAAATATACCCAACAAAGATGTACAATGTACATTTAAGTCATTCAAGCGAGTCATTCAAGCAATGAATCCAAATTGCTTTAAGTTTTATCTGTGGGGAAAAGAAAATGCAGCTGAAGAGGGTTAAATTTGATAGTATTACTCATAAGACTCACACAAACTGTCACTATCATTACAACGGTCTTTCCGGAGAAGAGTAAAATAAGCCCGGCAAGTTTAGGCTGTGGGGATCAATGTCGGATTTAAAATTGGTCTCATTTAAGCACATTATGTCGAGACAATGTCGAGACATGATTCAGACAGGCACTACTAATAACTATTATATCAAATTAACTCTTAGGATAAAAGAAAAGGATAGAAGAAAAAGTGAATGCCTTCACTGGTCCTTGGCAGTTGGCAGTGTGTATATAAATGCGCCCGTTCTTGTGCTGATATTGTATGGTGATTGGTGTCAGCGAGTTCTACTGTCAGTTGTCCAAAGGAAGAGATGGGAGTATTATCGCATGGGCATTGATAAGTCTAGTGCGTTTGACACGATCAAACGCACTACGATTCTTGAACTCCTGAAACTGTGTGGATGTAGTTGTACTGAGGATGAGCTGAGGATTGTCCGGTTGTTGTTGTCCAACACAAGGCTACGGGTGAAGGTCAATGGAGTTCTTTCAGCTGAGTTTTTAAGTCTCCTTGGAGCTTTCCAAGGTGACTATTTATCCGGCTGTCTGTTCACCCTTGTCTTAGCTGGTGTTTTGAATAAACTTAGGTGGACTATAACAATCAGTTTAGATAGGCCGATTCTCCCGATTACTATTGCTGGCCTTCCACTTGACACTGAATATGCTGATGATGTCGACTTCAATGATGAAGAGGAAAACAACTTGAGAGCTATATTGCCCCAGACAACAGCAGCAGTACTCGAGAAATGGAAACTCTTTGTCAATGAAGACAAAACGGACTTCACTCATGTTTATTAAGTTAGTACGGGTGAAGTTGACAGTGATGGAAAATTATTGTCGGGGAATGAAGCATGGAGGAAAAGTATCACTCTAGGGTCCGTCTTGTGTAGCAAAGCTTATATTCAGCGTCGCATAAACCTGCTGGGCCATCCCCAAAATATTCCTTGAAAAACTAGATGTTGTTCACCGCAAACATCTTCGCACTATTTTGAATATAAAGTACCCATGAGTCATCTCCAACAAAAACTTGTATAAACGCTGCAATGCTGAACCATTGTCAGAAAAAGTGGCTCGTAATCGGTGGAGAATGTTAGGACATGTTTTGCGGGGTCCTGTTGATGGACCAGCGTTTTCTTCCCTCATTTTTGCCATCAATACACTGGAGTTACCAGGGACTAGGGAGGCAGGGAAAAGAGGAAGAGCCCAAAGCAATCTATTCTCGCTGATTGTGCATGATTTATGTAAAAGAAATCTTTATATGAATAATATTTTTGATCCGTATTATCTCTGTAATTTAGCTTATGACAAGAGATATTGGCAGAAATTACAATGAAGTTTTTGATATTTAGCTATTTGTTTTAGGGAAAGATTAGACTTGGGTGTTGTTTTTTAACTATCCCTTGTTTAGAACTTTGATTTAATATAATATAATAATAACTATCAAATTAGAAGACTTTGCGTACTCACTACAGAGAATGTACTCACTACAGAGAATGTACACAATCATATATTGATTCTGATTTACTAATTTGAAATAAAAATGTCGGTGCGGAGGTGGTGATACAAGTAATATAAAATATGGTTTAATAAGATTTAACTTGTCTCTAATTAGCGCGATGTAGTTTAGAGATGTAGTTTGTTTTATTATGAAATTATAAAGTTATAAATGGTCATAATCTGGACTAAACTACTCCCACGTCCAAATTGTCTCAAATGCCATAAAATAATTTTATTCTCCAAAATCCATGCCGATCTGCCGCCTTTCTGGCTGTGGGAAGATTTGTGAAATGAAACTCACCCCATTATTAGCCACCAGGAATCCGTGTAGACTGGTCCACTGTTCGCTGGTAGAATTACCGCCAGGTGCGTGGCTCTGTGAGCAGGGGATCTGGGAGACAAAGCGAGCTGCGTGCCGCGCAGACTCAATCAGGGGGGTTTGGAGAGGAGCCAACATCATACACACCAACTGAGTACTTCCTAACTCATCCTGCAAGATGGGATTACTTTTACAGTTTACACCAGTTAAATTAATTATCATGGTTAAGAGGGGATTTTATGGGAATTTTTGGAAATCAGGACAGTTTCTGAGAGATGAATGGTAAAAACAGCTATAAAGCCTGATCTATGAGAGGAGTGTAATACCAACTGTTTTTAGCCCTGCTAGATACGCATAAGTTGTAACAACGTGACCCCTTACCTCAGTGAATATCTTGACAAGTCTGTCTGTGTGAGCTGGGCGAAGAGCCAGGTATTCATTCCACCACTGTTTAGTATACATGAGGAACAGACGCTCTCTTTCTATCTTCCGGTCCTTTTCCATCATCAGCTGACTTTTTAACACTTCACTTGATATTCTCTTCTGCAGAGCTGGCAGCATTTTAATCCTGGAAAAAGGTAGTTTCAATTTGTACAGATATATCAAGAAATGCTTATAATCTCACACTTATGTTACTTCGGAGTATTCCAACACATTGTTACACAAGTCAAACGGGAGTGAAACCAGCCAATTGCAGGAAGCCGAAGGAAAAAAACCTCAATATTAAGCCGGAAATTTCTCGAATATTACGGTAAATACGGCAACTAATGATCCTTAACTTGAACTTTAAAGGCAAAGTACTGATTTAAACCTGACATTAAACATTACATAATATCATTAAACATTGCATATTATATGTATATCTGTAACGTTCTGAAGATCTCACCTAAGAGTAAGCAGGCCCACAGAGACCCCACAGTCTGATTTAGTTCCAGTAACCTCCAGGTTTAGCAGCGTACCTTCTGTCTTATCAAGACACTGTCTCCAGTCAACCTCACAGCTACCTGATTGGTTAGTTTGTGTCACGTGGTGTAAATACTGTGTTATAATTGGTCCCAATTGGTTGGTTTGTGTCGCGTGGTGTAAATACTGTGTTCTAATTAGTTGGTTTGTGTTACAGACACTTGCACTGCCTCCAGTCAACCTCACAGCTACCTGAACCCGGACAGAGCCGTTTACTATTTACATAATATAAGGTCTTACTTAAGCTTAAGTTACAAGTCTTGCTTAAGCTAAGTTATAAGTTACAACTTAGCTTAAGCAAGTAGGGAATATATCACTGATATCCTGGCGGTTATCTTGCACAGATTTCTGCTAATGCAGTTCTGCTAATGCAGTTCCTAACCTGATTGGTTAGTTTGTGTCACGTGGTGTAAATACTGTGTTATAATTGGTCCCAATTGGTTGGTTTGTGTCGCGTGGTGTAAATACTGTGTTCTAATTGGTTGGTTTGTGTTACAGACACTTGCACTGCCTCCAGTCAACCTCACAGCTACCTACCTGAACCCGGACAGAGCCGTTTACTATTTACATAATATAAGGTCTTACTTAAGCTTAAGTTACAAGTCTTGCTTAAGCTAAGTTATAAGTTACAACTTAGCTTAAGCAAGTAGGGAATATATCACTGATATCCTGGCGGTTATCTTGCACAGATTTCTTCTAATGCAGTTATTGACAGAAATATTAGAATTTAGAATGTTTGACGTAATTTTCTATATATGAGCTATTATTTATCACAACAGACTTTTGCTTTTACATTGAATACCAGCAACTTAAGAACGAGCTCATACAGGGGGGGGGGGTGTCACGTCCGTCTATGTCCGCCTATGTCCTGTCCTTTTTGGATTCTATGAGACAACGGACGTGTTTTTTGGGACATTGGCAGACACGGACGGACATTGGCGGACTCGGACGGACATTGGCGGACTCGTACTCTGTTTTATAGATCTGGTACATTGTTGGCTCGGAATATTTGTTCAATATAACACATACGGGGGGTGATGAAGTGATCACTGTGGATTAGTCTACCCAGCGGTCTCCAGTACTCTGTCTCTATCGGGTCCTTCAACGTTAAGCTGTTAAGCTGATGTTGTCGTTCTATTGTTTATATTATCTCTATAATAGACGAAATAACGTACGCTCATTGGTCAGATATTTAATTGATAAACCAATGGACGCGGCGATCTGAACAGCGAGTCTCTTAACTTTAGGGGGGGGGGGGGGGGGGGTGTCACGTCCGTCTATGTCCGCCTATGTCCTGTCCTTTTTGGATTCTATTATTTTTCGCAACTTCTATGTATTATAATTTTGTACAAAACAAACGACTTATTTATCACACTAAAGCTATTAATAGCTTTAACTTATATCAAATTATATAGGGATCCAGGAAAAGGCCCCAGGAGGAGGAGGAGGAGGAGGACTGGGGAGGAGGAGGACTGTTGAGGACTGATGAGGAGGACTGAGGACGAGGAAGAGGAGTAGGAGGAGGACTGAGGAGGGGAGGAGGAAGAGGACTGGGGAGGATCAGGAAGACCCAGGAGGAGGACCCAGGAGGAGGACCCAGGAGGAGGACCTAGGAGGAGGAGGAGAACTGAGGAGGATGACTGAGGAGGAGAAGGACTCAGGAGGAGGACTCAGGAGGACTGAGAAGGAGGAGGACTGAGGAGGATGGCTGAGGAGGATGGCTGAGGAGGATGACTGGTAGGGAGGAGGAGGAGGAAGAGGAGGAAGAGGACTGAGGAGGAGGAGGGGAAGGACCCAGGAGGAGAAGGAGGACCCAGGAGGAGAAGGAGGACCCAGGAGGAGGACCCAGGAAAAGGCCCCAGGAGGAGGAGGAGGACTGGGGAGGAGGAGGACTGTTGAGGACTGATGAGGAGGATTGAGGACGAGGAGGAGGAGTAGGAGGAGGACTGAGGAGGGGAGGAGGAAGAGGACTGGGGAGGATCAGGAAGACCCAGGAGGAGGACCCAGTAGGAGGAGGAGGAGGAGGACCCAGGAGGAGGAGGAGGACTGAGGAGGACTGAGGAGGAGGACTGACGATGACTGAGAAGGAGGAGGACTGAGGAGTACTGAGGAGGATGGCTGAGGAGGATGGCTGAGGAGGATGACTCAGGAGGATGACTCAGGAGGAAGAGGAGGAGGAGGACTCAGGAGGAGGACTCAGGAGGAAGAGGAGGAGGAGGACTCAGGAGGAGGACTTAGGAGAAATGAGAAGGAGGACTGAGGAGAACTGAGGCGGAGGAGGAGAAGGACTGAATAGGAGGAGAAGGAGGGGGACTGGGAGAGGACTGAGGAGGAGGAGGACTGATGAGAAGGATGAGGAGGAGGACTGAGGAGGAGGACTGAGGACCGAGGAGGAAGAGGAGGATGAAGAGGAGGAGGAGGACCCAGGAGGAGGAGGACTGAGGAGGACTGAGGAGGATGGCTGAGGAGGATGACTGAGAGGGAAGAGGAGGAGGACTGAGGAGGAGGAGGAAGACTGAATAGGAGGAGGAGGGGGACTAGGGGAGGACTGAGGAGGAGGATGGAGGACTGAGGAGAAGGATGAGGAGGAGGACTGAGGTGGACTGAGGAGGACTGAGAAGGAGGAGGACTGAGGAGGAGGAGGACTGAATAGGAGGACTGAGGAGGAGGAGGACTGAATAGGAGGACGAGGGGGACTGGGGGAGGACTGAGGAGGAGGATGGAGGACTGAGGAGAAGGATGAGGAGGAGGACTGAGGACTGAGGAGGACTGAGGAGGACTGAGGAGGACTGAGGAGGAAGAGGAGGAGGATGAAGAGGAGGAGGAGGACCCAGGAGGAGGACCCAGGAGAACTAAAGAGGAGGAGGAGGACTGGGGAGGAGGAGGACTGTTGAGGACTGATGAGGAGGACTGAGGACGAGGAGGAGGAGTGGGAGGACTGAGGAAGATCAGGAAGACCCAGGAGGAGGAGGTGGAAGAGTAGGATGAAGCATCTAAATGTTATTTCCATTTTTGTCCGTTTTTGTCCATTTTTGTCAGTTTTTGTCCGCTCTATTTTTTGTCCGTTTTGAAAATATAGGGTACCGATAGGGCCTGTCGTGATATCATGGATCGCTTAGGTTCCACCAGGATCTGGTAGTCCTCATAATTCTGCGGCCTCTATGTATCGTTAACTCGCACAACTCCGTAAGACCCTTGTGAGTTTGGCATGTGAAAATTTGCAGCCTTCCAGACATTGATTGGGTTAACGAGGTGTCGTACGTCACCTCAAGATCGGGTGACAGGGGGCTGACCAGGCCAGAACCCAATTGATTGGGTCTGAGGTCACGTGATTATGAGCCTGAGCCCTGAGGGCACGTGACTGTGACGTCACCAGAGCTTGTTCTTCGTTTCCCGCTAATTGGACCAGATGTGTTCCTGATCATCATAAGCATGAATCAACTATCAAGAGAAAGGAGTGGCAAGGTCAAAAGGAAATCGCGGCACGTGCAGAATCGCGATTTATCCCATTCCCTGCGACAAATCGCGATTCTCCTTTAAATCCGAGGGCAAAATATCACGTTCTTTATATTTATATTGAACTTATCACATCCACAGCCTTTCGAATGTAGCTGTACGGACCGAAAAAGTATTTTCGGCTCATAATGCTCAGGGAAGCATGAAACATAAACAAAAGTAGTTTCCAGAAAAATTTTGAAAATAATTTCGATTTAGAAAATTTTCGGTCCGAGTCATTCTCCATTCTCGATAGGTACACGAAAAGTGCCTCAATATGTAAGTTACACTCCTTGTTTCTATATAATTATAAACATAACTTTTATAATAATTCTTACGTAATAATTATAATAATTTTCTATTATCACTAGAAGCCGCACAGACCTACTATCTACACACAAACCAACTAGTAATTTTCATTACCCTAATCCTATGAACCAGTTCACCCCTAATTCATAATTCGTGTAACAACATCATGAAGAAGAGTCTGTTTAGATCTTAACACTTAAGATTATTAATGTAGATGCTATTGTTTTGCCTAACGAGCCTGTCGCTCCCTAATCTATCTATACTCACAAGCTAGTTAACGAATTAATGACATCTAACTTAGCTATATATTATTAGGAATGGTCATCAAAATAAGTTTATAACAATGTCGATATTTTGGTAAATTTCTAGCTTCTGTCAGAAAATAAATTTACGGTTTCTATAATAGGGAGTAATTAGATATAAACTACAGTACAGCTGTACTTACACCCACATTCACAAGCATGCAAGCTCACCTGCCAGGTACCCGGTACCGAACGGACGAAACTACATGATCCCCCTATAACAGCAAAAATTGAACATTTTATTTAGCAATTTAGGTGTCCATTAATGTCCGCTAATGTCCGTATATGTCCGTCAATGTCCGTCTATGTCCGCCTATGTCCGCCTATGTCCGTCTATGTCCGCATATGTCCGCCTATGTCCTGTCCTTTTTGGATTCTATGAGACAAGCGGACATAGACGGACGCGACACCCCCCCCCCCCTCCCCATACAGTATACTGTAGTACAAAACTTAATAATTAACCACTTGTTGAATTAACTGAAATTTATCTGTTGTCCTTTATCTTACTCGATTACGCCTTATTTGGGAAAATAAGATAAGAGAAGTTTATCACTTTATTTTATTCGGTTTTTTCATTTAGATAACTATACCAGACTAAACCAGACTAAACCAGACTAAACCTGACTTACCAGACTAAACCAGACTTACCAGACTAAACCAGACTTACCAGACTAAACCTGACTAACCAGACTAAACCAGACTTACCAGACTAAACCTGACTAACCAGACTAAACCTGACTAACCAGACTAAACCTGACTAACCCAGACTAAACCTGACTATCCCAGACTAAACCAGACTAACCCAGACTAAACCTGACTATCCCAGACTAAACCAGACTTACCAGACTAAACCTGACTTACCAGACTAAACCAGACTTACCAGACTAAACCAGACTTACCAGACTAAACCTGACTAACCAGACTAAACCTGACTAACCAGACTAAACCTGACTAACCCAGACTAAACCTGACTATCCCAGACTAAACCAGACTTACCAGACTAAACCTGACTTACCAGACTAAACCAGACTATCCCAGACTAAACCTGACTTACCAGACTAAACCTGACTTACCAGACTAAACCTGACTTACCTAATAAGTGTTTGTGTCCAGCGTGACTGGTTCTTACTATTGTAAGTAGCAACCTACTCTGACATGTTATTAAACTTCCTGGCAAGCAAATGTTGGTGTTAAAATGATAAAGTAATATAGTATATTATATACATTTCCAAGCTCTTGATATTTATCATATTAATACTTAATTTATCATTAAAACTCCAATTAAAATTTAAAGACAGTAGTTTCTCACCACGTTTCTGTATCTGATCTATACAAAAGTAGAAGGTCTCATCGAAAGGTGGTTCACACATAGCTGGCACCGGTTTACTGGACATTCTCTTTCCTGCACAGTGGAAACTTAACTTATTTACACTAAATAACTTAACTTAATGCCACTAAACAGTTTTAAAACAAGCTTGTTAATGTAAGTAATGTGGGTGTATCGTGTGATGAGCTCAAACAAATGGGGGCAGTGTTTTTGAGCACTATAATGTTTCAGAGCATGGAAAAGAGTCAGTGATAATATTACAGTACTTGTTTAAAACTTGAGGAGTTGTACAAACTAATTAAAACAACTCTACCAAACAACTGGTCACTAAGTCTGAACAACTGGTGACTAAAGTCTAAACAACTGGTCACTGTAGAACTGGTAACCAACCCAATTGTTTTCCTACGGCCTACCTAAACAAAGAGCGTGCAGTTGAAATGTAGCTGCCTCGTTGTTCTCCAGATCGTCTATAAAAGCTCTGCCTTGTGTTAAACTAACTTGGAGAAACCGCTTTCCTCGCGTCTCCAGCTCTGGAACACATTTCAGATCAGTTAACCTGGCTATTTAATCTACAACAACTAATATCCGTAATAAAGACTTTTTGGCCAACTTTATAAAACAATAAAGTTAGGTTGAAGTACATTTTACCTGGAGGTATGGGAATTTCAGGTTTTGTTTCTGGCTGTTCCAACACGCTTTCGTTTAGAGAACTGTTTTTAAGCTCTGTTATTACCTTGTCAATCACGTTCTCCCTGCGCAGTTACATGTGCAGTTACATGTTAACAAGATAGACAATATGAATAAGCATTAAGCATTAGTATCCCATGATATTACTGACATTTACATTGTAAAATAAGTAAAACATAATATAAGTATTCACAGTTGACTCTACATACCACTAGAAATGTAACCTAACTCTCTACTGCTAACTACTCGCTCCTATTACCTGGATATATCCTGGATAACATTGTCCTTGTCCCTCTCCCTCAGTGCTCTATCAATCCTATCAGTGATCCCAGTAGAGGTGAGGTGCTGTTCTATCAGGAGTTTTAGCGCTCGCACCCTTTCTTCAGGAGCTCCTGACATCCTGAGACACACATCACGTGTTATTTTGTACTGAGTCACGCGTTATTTTGTACTGAATCACGTGTTATTTTGTACTGAATCACGTGTTATTTTGTACTGAGTCACGTGTTATTTTTTACTGAGTCACGCGTTATTTTGTACTGAGTCGCGTGTTATTTTGTACTGAATCACGTGTTATTTTGTACTGAGTCACGCGTTATTTTGTACTGAATCACGTGTTATTTTGTACTGAGTCACGCGTTATTTTGTACTGGGTCACGTGTTATTTTGTACTGGGTCACGCGTTATTTTGTACTGAATCACGTGTTATTTTGTACTGAATCACGTGTTATTTTGTACTGAGTCACGTGTTATTTTTTACTGAGTCACGCGTTATTTTGTACTGAGTCGCGTGTTATTTTGTACTGAATCACGTGTTATTTTGTACTGAGTCACGCGTTATTTTGTACTGAATCACGTGTTATTTTGTACTGAGTCACGCGTTATTTTGTACTGGGTCACGTGTTATTTTGTACTGGGTCACGTGTTATTTTGTACTGAGTCACGCGTTATTTTGTACTGAGTCACGCGTTATTTTGTACTGGGTCACGTGTTATTTTGTACTGAGTCACGCGTTATTTTGTACTGAGTCACGCGTTATTTTATCCTGAATCACGTGTTATTTTGTACTGAGTCTCGCGTTATTTTTTACTGAATCACGTGTTATTTTGTACTGAGTCACGCGTTATTTTGTACTGAGTCACGTGTTATTTTTTAAGAATTAGTTCAAGTAGAAGAGCCACCCAGAACAGTGTTATTTTTGATTTATTAATAATTCACGATAGTGATGGTTCTTGGTACGGTACAGAATAATTTCAATTCGATGATTGTTCACAATAATGACAGTTCATGAACTATACAATTTACAATTAGTTTTTTCTGAAGTCTTGATGTAATGTGTGGTCTATTTTTGTAAGCTTCTAAAATTCTCAACGTATCTATTTCTTCAATGTGATTAATAAATTTCATGTTCAGATGATAGCGTTACCAGCAGTGTACAGTTAAAAATTATCACATCTCTCTCTCTTTCTTGGCACGTGAATATTGGAAGAGAATAACAATGTACGATGTACACAATACAATGGAGACTATACAGTATACATTTAATAACTACAAACAGGACGCGTGTTTAGAAAAGCAGCAAGACACGCATCTAAACTAGCCGGTCTCATTGTTACATAATCCAATGAGGGGGAGAGTAATGAGTATGGTTTCTTAGCTAAGTTCTTTATTTCGAGGTTCTTAGTTCGATGAGCACAATGTGATTATTCTACACTGTGTACTCAATGTAATCTACTCTATAGAGGCGGTCAGCAGTGTTATTATGAAGATTAGCCGTACCTTTCAGAGGTATTATACCACATTGGGCAAAGAGGAACAATCTAATAATTTTATTCTCGATACTCTGCACAGTTTACACATCACTATTCAACTATTATAGTTCGGTAACTAAAATATTATCACGGTTATATATTTAGAGAAGCAGATTATAAATCACCGATATAAAGACTGTTGTATAATAATGGATGATAAGATGATACTATAGAAAGGGCTGTAATCTATAATCCATTATACCTTAATAGTACGAGGTGTACTCTACACAGAGAACTTTTCTGATTATCTGATTATCTAGTGAAATTATTTAAGAAAATAAAGAAGCGGGATTGGTTGGATAATGTTACCACCTAGATGAAGTATCTTGTTGTAAAGTAAAGTGTTCTTTTGTGGCATTAATCGAGGGTTTTTATGCTGCATTACAATTGACTCTTCGAATTTACAACTTTCGTGCAGCAAGAAAAGGTTGTATTGGTTTATAAATTATTTGCTAGTTCTTCTACAGACTTTTATCATCACGTGCTTTCTGGCATTGTAGGTAATTAAAAATGTTTGGTTTAAATTATTATCTGAACTCATATTTAGAGTCAAACATTATGGTTTCAGATCTAAAGATTTGAGTAACAACGATAGATTTCAACATGTTCACACTATTTCATAAATACCATCATATTACACATCAACATTTTAGCAGCAAAATATAACACACTATTCATTTAATTCTCCAATAATTTATTTAAAACAATTTGTCAAACGTCGTGAATGGCCATTGTCCAATACCTGCTATAATGACCAAAAAAAACATATAAATTATAAGGTACTAGACAAGGCACAAACACACATAACTTCATCTGAATGAAAATAGATTTATCATTAATTCAAATATCAAGCGCTGCAAAATCTGCAAAATCATCATTTCATGTTAAAATATCCTTCAAAATTATTTGTCACATTTGTGCACTAATTATAGAGACGGTGGACAATCATTATGTAATATGGTCCAGAATCATTGAATCTGATAAATATATATTGAACCTACTGATCAGTATTAATTAACATATATTATTCCCAATATTTTTGAAAAACTCTTACCAAAAGTTAAAGTACCATACGAGATTAAATAATAATTCTAACAAGGTAGCTATTACCACAAATAACTAACATGAAAACTACATGTTTATCTAAAAGACCAGAACAAGTAAAGTTGTACTAAAAACCAAGAAAACCTCTGCACTGAGAGTCTGAGTGACGTCTCCTTCAAAAGAACATATTCTATTTATAGCAAACATTGCGCAAGACTACCAGATAATCTACCACCTTTTTAGCTTTTTCCGCTTACGAGAACACACGATATTGTGAACAGATAAATAATTAATAACGATTAAATTCAATACGAATAAAACCAGAATATTGGAATCGTTCCAAAATAATCCTTGTGAGGGTCACGTAAGGAAAATATTTAAAGATGAGGGTCATCCAAAATAATAAAGAGTTAACACCGTCGTCATTGCAACGATGTCAGTATCATGCAGCCATGGTGCGGAGATGGTGTTGCCATGGTAACAGACTCAGAGAAGAGATTATTGTATTGATTCCTCGTTTTGGCTGTGTGTTTCTGGCAGGGTCTCGTACTCGTCCTGACAGAGTGTGAATTGTTAGGGGAGACAGTTTGGAGTTAGAATCTATGAAGTTCAATGATTTTGTTATGTAAGTATGTTTCAATAAGTCAAACATAATATGAAGACAAACTTCCGAAGTCTGAACTAACGAGCGGATATGTCGTAGTTGCAGGTTTAAATCAGCTGATTAAAGATTAAAGGAATTCAGAAACGATCAAAATGCAACAGCTTTACATTAATTAGAATTAATATATCAGTAGTATTAGACATATTAGATTTGTATTAATGATGATTTGGTTTTGAATTCTGAATCAGAATAAAAACGCAGGGATAAGATAGGTTAACAAATAATTAGTTTAAATCAGGGCTATTAAAGCACGATTTCATACATGTAGAGGAGAGTAATGGACGTCGAGCACCCAAATCCTAAAAATTAAGTCATTTAAATTGCTTGTTTAAGAATGACAGGCTTTTCTGCAGTTCCCGATTTCTATCGGTATAAATAATAAAACAGTGACCTTTATAATACAATTACCATAGGTCGTATTTTTGTAACGCCTTAGTATGCTTCTACGAACTACACTTTTTAAGTAATCACTGTCAAATCCTGAATCAGATAAAAACACAGTTATGCCTGGGATTAAATAATCAAATTAGTACAAATATTAATTTTATTAATAATAATAAAAATCAGAGCTATTACAGTACGATTTCCATACATGTTTAGAGAAGTATTGGACGTCGATCTCCTGGAGCCTAAAAATTAACTTATTTAAATTCCTTGTTTAAGAGTCACTGTTTATCTGCAGTTCCCAAAATGGTAGTTATAAATGGTAAAACATCCACCTCTATTTCCCAACACCAGCTTACAGCTTATTATAGTCAAGACTCATAATTCACAATGGTGTTTAATACTTTGTCTTTTGGAGTCAATTTATCTTTCGTGTATGTGTTGCATCGAGTAAGTCCAATAAGTCCATGATAATAGTAGTTAAATATTTTGCCAAAAGCAGCAACTCAAGATTTTAAAAACACTGTTGGGAGAGCACAAAAACATGTGATCTCAACTTACTATTTCTACTTTTCATTTCAAAAGATTTTCATCTTAATGGATATAATGTTTGTCGTAAATATTGTTCTTGCTAGATTAATCAAATTAATGTTTGTAATCAATATCATGCAAAATTAGGGTCAGATCAGCTCATGACCACCTACTCCGTCTCCTTAAGAACAATAATTAATCGTTTATAATTATAAAACTTCAAGAGTTCATTCAAGAGTTCTGTAGATAGTTGAGTCTGTGCACAGGGCTGTCCGCCATCAGGCTTCAGATAGATCTGATAAGCCGGGACTTCTTCCATTATCTGATGTTCTGATTTCCTTGCCCTGGCTTTCCTTGCTTTGTAGTTGGCTAGCCTGTCTGATATGATCAGGTCAGGGTTTATCCAGAACACGATGTTGCTCCCATCCCAATCACGTATGGGTCAACCCTTACCATGGTCATGTTGTTTCTTAGTCAGTTCGGGTGATGGTAATACAACTATAAGAGGCCGGGGTTTATCCTTACTTCTAGGTAAGTGCTGCATCGAGTGAGTACAATATAAATAAGCTCATGAAAGTGCTATATAGTATTATACCAACGAAAAGTTTGTGGCTGCTTAAAAAATGCTTTTAGGCAATTTTTTACCTGGTAAAGGACAAAGGTCATATACTTTAGACTAGAGTCGTTTTAGCTATACTTGGGCTAGAAATGGTTTTTATCATTATATATATATCTAAGCGACATCACAATATGCTCTATTTAGAGCATATTATTATATGTATTGTGAAATTAGAGAATGTAAGATAAATTGAGGTTAGCAAATGCAAATTTTAAGTTTAGAATAGCAAGTTTTGCACATTGAAACAGTCAAAATAATTTGTAAGTGTCTATCATCATGCAGTTAGTCAGTCTATTTAGTACGTCCACTGTCTTATGAAGTTAACACAGTCACATGCAGCCAGGAGGGTAGTACTTGTCAAAGAGATCCTCTTGTAAAGGTACTATTTTAGAGTACTGTACAGCAGTTTTACCCACCTCTGGAGTTCGCTTCTCTACCGCAACAAGGATGTAGATCACTGTGAAGGCCCACATAAGGATGGTCACAGCAGTGAAGTTGAATGTGTAGGCGTTAGCAGAGAATTTGTCTGGGTTACTGCAAATTTGAAAATTGTTGTCATCAATAAGGAGTTTTATATCGTATGGAAACATGGAAATTTCTGTACAGTATGGTACTTTCATGATCGAGATTGTGATCATGAATTTTATGACTACTCACGCAAAGCTATATTTCTCTTGCAGTCCGGTGCAGATTGTAGCAGCAGCTAATGTTACCATGGCTGTACCTATGGAAATAAAACTTTTTGAACAGGACAACGCTATTTTTGTTTAATCTTTTGACGTTGATTAATTTGAAGAACAATCATATTTGCATTAACAAAAATTAAAAAGCGATAGAAAGATATAAGGTTGTATTAATATGTATATAGTAAGTTTCTTACCAGCAACAACATGCCATGGTTTGTAAGCAGCTCTGATCTCATCACTTGCTCCCTTCACTAGGTCTTGGAAAATTGTCAGCCCACCGAGTGCCTATCAAATTTAAAAATCAAACTTGTGGGTTCCTATTTGAAGAAACATTTAATAAGTCATCAAAACATGTAATGAAGTAATGAACATATACAGAACGGTACTTTTAAAATTGAATTACCTGCAAGAATAAGAGGGACAGAGTAATCAATCCCAGCCAGGAGTGTAAGCTGTAAAAGTTGGGGTATCCCTGCTCATTGTGAAAGTCGATTACAGCTACTAATCCAGCAATAGCAAATGCCACAGCAGCCAAGTTGAGAATTGCATGAATGTATTTCTTCAAGCGATGTGCCAGGGGTAAAATTCGAAACGCTATGATAGCTGAAAAGGAATCAGATCAATGGAAAAAAAACCTCTTCTAAAACCTTATTATTCAACAAGTAAGTAAGTTGTCTTAAAAGGAAAATGAAGTTGAGAATGAAGTTGATTTCGACTTACAATGCCCCATCACAAAAACGAAAGCAATTATCATGAAGACTGGATGATAGTTGAATTTGAGTTTGCTTTTGACTTCCCAAGAGAAACCGCCACCGTATTTTTGTGCCCAGTAGATTATCAAAATAATTGGCAGGATTGCCACTGCCTCGAATACAAGGAGTGACAACATGTGTTTGATCGATGCCATCCTATATAATGTAATATGGAAATCAATTTCAATGTATGAATAAGAACTGCCGGTTGAACCAACCAATCCCAGTACACTAAAATGTAACTTGGAGTTATTTTATTATTAAAATCTAAAATAGCTAATAATTAAACAAATCATTAACCATCCCTTTCAAGTGTGCAATAACATCTTAATTTTATGAAGGAGTAAGTTGTCAGTGGATGCGAATTCGTATATTCATTTATTGCTTGTTTAATTTGTTTTGTTGTGTTTAATTTACGATTATTTGTATTTGAGATTCTGCGATTAAATTTATTTTGTTGATTGTAATGTTTTGATATTGCATAATTTATTGTAAATGTAATATATGTTTCAGAATTACCTTACGAGACATATTTATATGGTACGAAATTTGGGGATTTTTGGAAAAAATCCCCATATTTTCGTACTACCAAAATTGTGGCCGCCATTTCAAAATCCCACACATTAATTTTTATGTAATTGGCTTAAATAGGGCTAATTTGAGGTGAATTTGTCAAATAAATTGTTTTACGTGTTTTGTGAGACACGGATACGCATTTCTCAGGTAAATAGAAAGTTACTTAGTATACAAATTACTGAATAGGAAATACTGGTTTTTCAGTGTTACGTGAAAAACGTGCGTCAGATTCAAAATTAGGGTTAGAAGTCAAACTAAGTCTCACATTCAAGAGTATGGGAGACTTAATTGACAAGCTCAAACTCCTGTTGAGGGAGACATACACCTCACACCTGGGACTACACCGGTGAGCAGACTCAAAGTGAAAGAGACGACGATGAAGACGATTTAAACGAAGAGAATGATTTTTAATTAATTTAGTTTTTCACGATTTTTAAAAATTCCATCAAAAACTGATTTTGATTTCTCTGAAATAATTTAGCGTGAAAATGCGACAATTCAATTTGGGGTACGAAATTTGGGGATTTCTGAAAAAAATCCCCATATTTTCGTTCCCCCATAATTCCGATCCCCAGAATTATGATCCACATAAATTACTCTAGTAGCAGGGAATAGTTGAGTGTGCACTTCGATGTGTACTATTTCTGACAACACAGGGTTGTTTGTTAGGTCATTCTTAACCAAAATCGTGTGGGTGCACAATTTGTTTCGCTAGAGACAACCCTACAGGGCAAATTTTCTAAATTACCCTCAGTCGCGTATACGAGATTTTCGTATTTCGGCTCCTGAAGGTCATAGAGACTTCAATTTTAGCTTAAAATTACCGCAATAGCCATATTTATATACAACTTATGAAGCAACATAAGGTCTCCAGTGCTTTGTTTTATAGATATTGACAAAAAACTGTTTTTTGGCTCAGCGAACCAAAAATGGGACTGAATTTTGGTAACTTGAACTAGGAAGATCGTAGAGACTTGAATTTTAGCTTAAAATGAGCGCAAACATCACATTTATATACAACTTATAGAGCAATATAAGCCCTTTAATGCTTATTTGTTAAGATATTGACAAAAATCGGTCATTTTGACTACACGCGTGAGGAAAAATACCAAATTGGGCAACAACTTTGGTCTTTTTTTACCAGTTTTGTGCTCAAGTTATTAAAATGTGCTTTGATGTTGTAGATCGGGTGTTTTCTTCCAATATGGGTTTCGGTATAAATCCGGAAGCACCCGGTTCATGGGTGATAGGGGTTAAAAACCCTAAAATGTCAGGCGATGGGCGAGACAATTGTCTGAATTTGGTTATAAAAACACTTGCACTCTTTGCTAGGGTTTGCTTTTTTCTGCTACATCGATCCGATTTCTAACTACTAATCATCCCCCTCTACATCATTCTCTTTTAGATACATGATTTTTATAAGTTCTTGAAGGTACATCCGGCATGATGTAAAGTCTATATCAAAGCATTTTAATGTGGTCTTAACAAGTTGCAAGATATTCAAGTTCACTAATAAAACAGAGATTGTAGGATATTCTTCTTTTACATATTGAGTAATTGCGGGCTTTTTGAGGGGAGGCTATAAAATGGCCAAATATAACTTAAACGTAAACGACCCAATAATAATATTAAACGTAGATTGTAGAATGAAACTACTTAAAACTAATACAGATTCATGGTATCCTGTTTTAAGACGCTTGCTCCTGATTTTTAGCAACAATATCGACTGACCCCACGACGTTGTAATATAATTGAGGGTAGGCTATCACTTGATCTATAAGTTTTGAACGGTAGTTTGTAAAAATAATTACATTCTACAAACATTATACGCTCCTACTATGCAATTACTAGCCTCTGGACTAACTCCCAATCATCTGTCCATATAATGGTGTTTCTGGATAGATAGATGGTGTATGATGCCCTCATGCTAAATTCAGCGATCTTCATGCAGGCCTTTTTCTCTTTAGTGTTTACGTTCAGGTGGTTCATAAAGGTTTGGAGGCTGCAGTTGTAAATGCCTCGAACTCGAACTGCTACTGTCTGGAGCTTGCAATCTCTTCTGTCAGCTGCTGATATCTCTTAATATTCTTTTCTCTTGATCAGCAAAGTTCTCTTTATTTCAGATGCACCTTCTTCGCTTTATCTGAATAGATTACTACATCTGGTCTCAGTGGTATTACACTAATGTAATGTCTAACAATAACGTTTATAAGTGCTAAAATTTCGAACTAGCGGACCATATTCGGAGGAGAAATTTGGGGCAGTTTTTTGCTTGGAAATACTGATTTAATCTAATTTTAACCACAAAATGACTCCCAATAATATTCTTATGGAGAGTGTGGATAAATATTAAATATTTAAAATAATACAGGTTTGACTATAAAGTTGCGTCAATAATCATGTAAAGAATAATAGATAACCTACAATCTTCGTTTGGTAAACCAATTTGGTATCTTTCCTCACATGTGTAACCAAAATTACTCAATAATCAATATGTAAAAGAAGAATATCCTACAATCTCTGTTTTATTAGTGAACTTGAATATCTTGCAACTTGTTAAGACCACATTAAAATGCTTTGATATAGACTTTACATCATGCCGGATGTACCTTCAAGAACTTATAAAAATCATGTATCTAAAAGAGAATGATGTAGAGGGGGATGATTAGTAGTTAGAAATCGGATCGATGTAGCAGAAAAAAGCAAACCCTAGCAAAGAGTGCAAGTGTTTTTATAACCAAATTCAGACAATTGTCTCGCCCATCGCCTGACATTTTAGGGTTTTTAACCCCTATCACCCATGAACCGGGTGCTTCCGGATTTATACCGAAACCCATATTGGAAGAAAACACCCGATCTACAACATCAAAGCACATTTTAATAACTTGAGCACAAAACTGGTAAAAAAAAGACCAAAGTTGTTGCCCAATTTGGTATTTTTCCTCACGCGTGTAGTCAAAATGACCGATTTTTGTCAATATCTTAACAAATAAGCATTAAAGGGCTTATATTGCTCTATAAGTTGTATATAAATGTGATGTTTGCGCTCATTTTAAGCTAAAATTCAAGTCTCTACGATCTTCCTAGTTCAAGTTACCAAAATTCAGTCCCATTTTTGGTTCGCTGAGCCAAAAAACAGTTTTTTGTCAATATCTATAAAACAAAGCACTGGAGACCTTATGTTGCTTCATAAGTTGTATATAAATATGGCTATTGCGGTAATTTTAAGCTAAAATTGAAGTCTCTATGACCTTCAGGAGCCGAAATACGAAAATCTCGTATACGCGACTGAGGGTAATTTAGAAAATTTGCCCTGTAGGGTTGTCTCTAGCGAAACAAATTGTGCACCCACACGATTTTGGTGAAGAATGACCTAACAAACAACCCTGTGTTGTCAGAAATAGTACACATCGAAGTGCACACTCAACTATTCCCTGCTACTAGAGTAAATATGTCTTGTAAGGTATGTAATGTAACGCGATGGAAGTATTTTAAGCGGGCATAAACACAAGGATATAACTTGTGAACTCGGCTAGTATATATGAAACATTTGTCATGGAGTTGTAGAGGGAGTTATGTGCCTCGCCGGGCTAAAGTGGTGGATGACCTTGCTGTACGGCAAGTTAAACAAGGATCTGAAACTACTAGGTTCCGTACAGACTCAACTCTGCACCCGTGTCAATATGTTCATTATATGCAAGCCTCTTGATTTATAATCACCGAGTCTAGTAATTGTTTAAGAGAGTTCTCTGGCAGTTGCGAAACTCGAGAGACTGTGGGATACTGAAGGGAAAAGGAAGCAGTTCTAACGAGCTCTTCTCAAACACAAGGATATAACTTGTGAACTTGGCTAGTATATATGAAACATTTGTCATGGAGTTGTAGAGGGAGTTATGTGCCTCGCCGGGCTAAAGTGGTGGATGACCTTGCTGTACGGCAAGTTAAACAAGGATCTGAAACTACTAGGTTCCGTACAGACTCAACTCTGCACCCGTGTCAATATGTTCATTATATGCAAGCCTCTTGATTTATATCCTGTCCAAACCCAGGATACATGACATAAAGAATTTGGTTTAACTTGTTTGTATGAAAAAAGCATCAATACTCTTAATAAAATTGATATTGCGTATATTATTGAGTAATTATTGAGTAATCAAAATAAAAACTCTTGTTTAAGGCCAGAGGGGGGGGTAAATGGCACTTTTGTAGTTTTTACATATTTGATAATAGCTACTGGAGACGAACAAAAAGAAAAAAATCGGATCAAAATCTGACCTTGCGCTTCTGAGATATCGCGCGCTCAATTTTGAGGTTTACCTGTAATTACATGTTAAACTGGAACTTTAAACGGCTGTAACTTTTTTGACCTTTCGATTTCTTAGTTGAGAAAACCGGCCAATCCCTGATCTTGAGGTTTGGTACAGTGGTTCCTTGGACAATTATCCTCACATCTGGTGCAGCGATTTTTTTTATTTGACTCTGTTCTCGAATTATGAGGTTAACCAGGTCAAAAATTCGAAAAATTTAATTGGTTAACCTCATAATTCGAGAACTGAGTCAAATAAAAAAAATCGCTGCACCAGATATCTAGATAGTTGTCCAAGGAACCACTGTACCAAATCTCAATATCAGGGAGTGGCCGGTTTTC